ATTTGGTTCGCGACCAGAGTCGCGGAACGAATTAAGTTCGTGAACCGAGGTACCACTGTACTTGAAACTAAAACTAGAAAATGTTACCTGCCTGATGATGGTAGGTCTAATATGGGTCTAATATTAAAGAGGGAAATAGTCACAGTAAAATACAGTGATAGCTAATTGTAAAAGTGATGTGTAGGTAAAGCCAGAATTCACAGTAGGTGGAAACAGAATAGCTTCAAGAGACAAGTCAGTTCAAGATTATGATGTGTTTTTTTTTTTAATAGGAGAAGAAAGAAAAATGAGGGAAGATGAAATTGTGAGGGGTGAGGGGCTCTGAGGATACACTTCCTTATCTCTCCCACACATCTGGGTTGTTCTTAGGAAAAAAGGGTTAGTGCTTTTATTTGCTTACTGCTGAATGCAAGGCCCTCTCAGTGGGATGGTTGTGACAAGCACCTGTCTTTTGATATAGTTCAACAGTGCCCTCTAAAGGGTTTGAGAAGTGAGCCCCATACTGGGAAGTCTGAAAAGAAGGCTCTGCAACGTATGAACTGTTTTAAGTGCTTGAAGCAAGAAGTGTTTTAAACAAACTCCCTCTTTCATATGGTGCTGTTTTGGAATTTTCCATGTGGCTTTAGGTGAATGGAGGTGAATCTTGCCTCTTGCCATCAGACTGTTATCTTTTGAATTTTTTTCTACCTGGGCTGCTGCTGGAGCATTCATGTCCCTGATGGTCCTGGCTTTGGCTAAGAGGGGTAGTATGGAGCTTGGGTGGAGTTCTGGAGCCAAACAGCAGTCATTTTAGCAGCACTTGGCACTTTCTGGACCTGGCTGCTGTTGATGAAGGACAAGAGAGGAGGACTAGGTTTGCTAAGAAACTGGCTTGGTTGGACTGATTTTATTTGGAATTCTCAGTACAGTATGTAAAAGAATAAGAACCCTGTCTGCCATGTAGAACTGAAGTGAAGGGGAAGAGCAGCTAAGCACCCTTTTGTTCACAAAATTATTAATTAAATGAGTGTGACCCCCAGTTGATCCCTATAGAAAAAGGAGCGGAATGGTAATGCTCCATATTAGGAATTAGGCAGGCTTCAAACAATTTGCAAGAGTCACCTACTCTTCAGAATGTGTTGAAGTCTTTATTTTATATCTTGCATTTCTTGAATTTTTTTAGTCTTGTTGTAAAATATACACTTTCCTCTATATATTGGTGATAAATACTTCTCTGTCTAAAGAATGGGCTAGTCTCCAATGTGAGTTTGCTTCTCAACTGTATGAAAAACATTTTATTCGATATGGTTTTGACAATTATCATTTACCAGTATGGAAAGTGAAAAGCAGAGTTTGATTCGATGCAATGTGTAGAAAGATTTTGCTAAGTGGATCTTAAAATGTTTCTTCTGTTCTGTGGAAGAGGTCTCAGTTTTCTTGCCAATTCCAATGCCTGTTTGTCTGTCTCTCCCTATCTATGCTCTGCTGGTACTACTACTGCTGCATTATTTACTTTTGTGTCTTTCAGCAGAGGAAGTCATATCTGGAACGGAGTGTAAAAGAAGCTGAAGATAATATCCGGGAGATGCTTATGGCTAGAAGAGCACAATAAGTTCCTTACATTTGGACTGAATAGCTGAAAGCAGAGATTTTGAACCCTTATTGTTATACATCTTTGAATGTTAAAGATATGAAGAGCTTGGTTTGTGCAGCTAGCTACATCATGTCAACCCAACCTTGTATTTTGATGCACTAATAAATTACTTAATTTATATACCATGGCTGCTAAACATGGCCTGAACTTGTTTCTTGAAACAGAATAGCATAGAATTGACAAAGGACCCAGTCCTCTACACGTGATTATGTCGAAAACATAGCTTCAGCTAGAATGGAGCTCTAGATTGGTGTTTTGCTTTTCTTCAAAATGACATGCAAAAGCCAGTTGGATTTGGATTATTCATTCATAGTAATTCTGTTAGGAAAAGATTGTGAGACTTCAGCGCACAGTAGAGAGAAGTTAAAGCAGTAAGGTTCTTGCTGTCGTCTTGCTGCTTTCTGTTACTGAGAATGGGCACAGTTGTTATTTGCCAGGGACCAAGAAGCTTGTAAAACTCGTGACAAATTATAGGAGAATGGAAAGAATTAGGAAAATTCTCTGAACAGATGCTGTTTTTTAAGACTGCTAGCTTTTGAGATGGCAGTGGTTGGAGTGTGGGCAGCTTTTACAATACAAGCATTTTAGAGTGGATGGAAAAGTTCAAAGCTGGCACGGTACAGGTAGAGTGGCTTTTCAGTAAGGAAATACTTGTGGTTAAATCTTCCTATAGCTTTCTGCCAAATATGTATCACAATGCTATTATATTAAAAGCAGTCCTAAAAATAAAAGTAATAACATTGTCAGGTTGCTGCCATCTTGTGGGTGAGAGTTCTATAATTCATTTCTGTGACTAGATTCATAGGTGATGCTAAGTTAGGGATAGGCAATCTATGATGCTCCAGCTGTTCCTGAACTATATAATTCCTGGCATCCCTCATCATAGCTAATGTAATCCCATCATACTGGGAGCTACATCGTTTGACAACAGCTGGAGTGCTACAGTTTATCATGTGTGAACCTGGTCATCCCATCTTTTCTCTAAGCCCAGAGCAGTGTTCTTGGGTTTTCCTGCTTTCCCTTTTTAACCTTGCAAGAAGTGTAAAATAGATTAGGATTAAAAATAACAATTTTCCCAGTCTTAATTCATTACTACTATATGAATGTTGGTTTGCGGTATTTTACCAATGTTCAATATTGTCCCAATAGGATAGCTGCACTCAGAATGAGAAACTGAGAATGTATTCTGCTTTCAAACATAAGGGAATTGAGGGATTTTAGAGCAATCTGATTGGTAGAGGAATGGAAGCTTCTATAAAGCCACTTTGAAATATACCTAAGGTGTTGTGATAACTATGATTATAATCCATCAAGCCTACATTGCTTGATAGTCTCTTTTTGGAAATGAAAGGTTATTCTAAATCTAGCCTATCCTACGAATGAAAAGATTTGATAATCAGTATGAAAACAAAATCTCTCAATGGTAGATTTGTTCTTCACATAATATTTCTTTGTACCTCCTCGCAAACATACATAGCAGCATAAGTACAAAACTAATGTCAAAGTAATGGTGTTCGAAAAAAAAGTGATTCAAACAATGGAGGTACCATTCTAAATTGTCAGCTTTCCTGTAGGGCTTTGGGTTCTTGACTGACTATCTTTCGGTTATTTCTCTGCAGAATTTGGAATATTTTCTACAGCATAAACTTTTGCTATAAAGGAAGATTAAACAACCAGTCAGTATTTAGTGCTGCCACCTGCTGGGAGATACATGTTATTTTTAATTTTGTTGTAAGATGTTTTGTTATTCTGGCTATACTGCCTAAATCTCTGTATAAATGCACTAACAATGAGCATGTTCAGGCAATCCAAGTGAAGGTTTAGAAGACTAGAAGGAAGCAAAGGCAATTAAGCCCATGTGCTGCTTTCCTTTCCGCTAGTATATGAAGAAGGGGAAGCACAAAGCCTTTTTAATTTTTGACAAACCATATTTGTTACATCTGCATGTGAAAAAACATAATTGTAGCATTTCTTTTTCACTTTATTAGGCTAAACATATCCAAAGAAGAATGCAAATAGCAATAAAGGATCAGTACAGCTTCAACTTTGATGAGTGTAACAGTTTAAAAAGGGTGGAGTGGGGGAAACATACCTGGAAATTGCATTATAAACAGAACAACTTCAAAAGCTTTGACCATATTGCTGAAAAAATTTCCTTGTCCCTTTGTTTAAAAAAATTAATTCAAATGTTGATAAACAATACACATTAGTAATCCATTGCTACAAATCAGTAGTAGATTTCTCCTTTTACTCTTCTACAGTATAATAATTCTTTGAGCCAACCTCCATATCTGAAAAATCAAAATTCTTTTTTAAATAATAATTTTATTAAAGTTTACAGATACAAAGATAAAAAATTAATACAATCTACGGAGAATGTAAAAAGAAAAAGTGCAGGGGAAAAATTTAAAAAGAAAAAAAGAAAAGAGATATATAAAGAAATGACTTCCCCCTTCATCAAGATAAGTACAAACAATTTCAGTAACTTATCTTCTCTGATACTGCAGCATAAGATCTCTTCTTCCAATGTCTCATCCTTTATCTATAAACAAATTTTAAAGCCTCGTCATTCAGTCCTAATCAGCAAAAGTCCATTAAGAATTACCAGAAACAACATATATATTTTAACCTTGATCAAATAAACCAACTTTATATTCCTTGCCTTTGCTTTTAAGAATCTTGATCTTTAATCCCTTTAAATAGTGTCCCAAAAGTTTATTTCTTTTCATTTTCTCTTTGTTTCTTCTCAGAAACTCCTTCGTAAGTTTAACACGTCTTGTTTGTAAACTTTGGCCCTCACAAAGTTTTTCTAGCCAACAATATTTCCCCATGGGAAGATTTCTTATACTTAGTTTCAAAATCTTCATATATTTTTATAGAATTTTAAACAATCCACAGGAAGGATTCTTATAATTAATTTGAAAATCTTGTTTCAAATCCATCTGACCCCTTAGTCCTTTTATAACTTCCCAAAATCAACATCCTAATCACGCTTTTGCTGTTTATTCCAAAATAAGAATTTTTTAAGTCCTTAAACTTGCATAAAACTTCTTTCGCCACAGATTGAAGGAAACTCACCCGGTGTAATGAAACTTGCCTTTCAGAAGGTTCTTAATATCCCAAAAGCCATTAACAAGCAATTTCCAGAAGTGATTAAGAAAGGAAGTATGTGAACCCGGTGTCCTTTTGAAGGCACCAAACCACGGCTTGGTAAACATGGTTTTCCCTTGGCTCCCAGAGCTCTAAAACCCACCAGAGACTGCTGTCTTACAGTCTCCTTGTGGGGAGCCACTGTACAGAGTGCTTTTGGGCAATCCCAGGTCCTCTCCTTGTCTGAAGAGGAAACTTGTTCCACCATGGTCATTGGCTCCAGTCTCAGCGGAGCCATCTTCAGTCTGCCTTTGCTTCCCTGGAAGTCCTCAAAAAAATCCAAATTCTTGACATCTTAGTAGATTCCAAACACTAGGGATATAGCCAAGAACATATGTGTCTTTAGCATTGATTGATCCAGATTCATACTGACAGTTCTACTGATGTCAGCCCAAAAATGCAATAACAATAGGACAAGACCAAATCATATGGGTTGATGTTCCAACTCCTGAACTACATCTCCTCCAATAGGGTGATTGTAACCAATTCTTACTGAATAATCCAAGATAACCAATTTACAGGACGCAATTTTTTATTCTATTAACCTCTTTTTAAGATAAAATTAATTTCATGTTCCTTAATCCCACCTTTCATTAGGTTGCCAAGACAGGACATTCAAACTTGTTATTCCAAACATCATTTGAATAACAGTAATTTCATCACTTTTCTGTACAGGAAGCTTACAGACTTAGAATCCTCACCAGAAAAGAGTAATAGAATACCAAATTTCCACAAATTAAATGCAGACATGTAATTTAGCAAAATATGGTGAATCCTGGAAAAAAATGGGGTGATTGATTTAAAAAAGTATCTGAAATTTGAATCAAATCACCACTAACAATTATGCGATCTCCTGACTTAGTATATAAGCTTTGAAAACAATTGTACGCGTATTCTGAAAAGTTTGTGGTTGGCCAGTATCATTTTAGGAGTGCTAAATGTTAATCGCTGTATCTAACAAGGTTACCTCTATCCAATAACTTTTCAACTATCAACTTTTAAAAATTACTAATCAAAATAGCAACAGCATGTAGTGTTATGTGGTACATGTAATTATGTACTACATGTAGTATTATCATTTATGTAAACCTCTGCCATCTAAGCTTTCTGGAAAACTTGCTTTGTTGTTAAAAAATGGGTCGCTTGGGGAAAAAAATTAATTTCAGTTCTCATCCTTTTTAACTAAACTAAGACTTGTCTATACTTGGTGAGGGAGCCCAATCCTTTAACATTCCACATTAAATGGACACTGCTATTACATATCATTAATATTAAAAAACAGTGAGCAAGATGCAATATCCCATCCCATCCATACCATATCTCATTAATTACCAGTCTTCCTCCAAAATGAGAAAAATAATACTACAGTGATTAAAAATACAATTTCCAGACCTCAGTTGGTGATAGCCAGATATTATAACACATCTCCACTACCCCCTACACAAATTGATAACCTAATTAGTTGACTGTTACCAGAGTCACCCGCTGGGGCAGATGGGTGGCATACAAATTTAATAAATAAATAGTTAATATTACATGAACCAATGGGAAAGATAGGGCAAGTTTAATAAAGGGAATAATCTTCAATTATTACCAATTTAAAGGAGGAGTGTGGGGAAACAAGGATGGGGCAAAAAAAAAAAAGCACAGCTGTAAGACTGATTTGTAAACTTGCCGTATAACCATGGTCTTACTGAAGTAAACACAAATGTATAATTAAGAGCTGAAGCTAAAGAAGTTAACAGCCTGAATACATGTAAATGTAATAGCAAAACTTTAGAAAAAAGAAAAAAAACTTTGTCTGTTGTATCTTCTAGCAGTCAGTCATTCATCCTAACCTGTCCAGCACCATCATCTCCCATCCCACCTTATCAGGCCGGTACTTCAAAAATGGACTATGAGGACCAAACACACCCATATTCTACAGAGAAAAAAACCAAGACTGGTAGGTCATGGAAAACAAGACAATACACAGTT